TTATTATTATTATTATTATTATTATTATTATTATTATTATTATTATTTGTCAATTGCTTACAAGATAATAGGTATAAGTAAAAACATAGTTATGAATACATGGATACATATAAGAAAAATAAAAAATATATAAAAGAAACAATAGGGCAGGGACGGTAGGCACGTTGGTGCGCTTATGAGTCTCCTTATTCCCTCTCGGTGCAGTCCTAAGAAGGAAATTGCACTATAGAGATACAGAAAATGCCATCCTCAGTCAAGGAATCTTCCCTTCATCACCTTCCATCCCCTTAACAATGGACTCCCCCAGCTCTGCTGCTGAAGGGCTTGTTTTGCATTACAATTAACAATAACCCACACATACAACACACCAAGCACATACATACAATCACTTATAGCCTAAATGGCTTTTAGGGCACCTGAGTATTTACAAATACTGTATCACCAATTAGCAAACGTATAAAAAGGGAGAAGTCAGAAATCAATACTGTGTTTCTTTGTCATCTCCTCTCTTTTTAGGTATTTTAATGTTTGTTAACTTTGCTTTATTTATCTCTTATTTCCTTTTATTCATCCCTCTCTCTCTTCCTCTCTGTACACACTCACTCTCAGCATTCGCGATATCATAAGCAACTCAAATACAACAAACATCTCTCCTGAAGATATCATTGAAATAACCAGAGATGGCCCTGGGTACAAATACAGTGACGGCTCTATGGCCCGAAGATTTTGTAGAGTTGTATGCAAAAATGAGTCCAGCAAATGCATATTCATTCATACAATAAATGCCATTGCAAAAAACAATCCCAACCACAAAAAACTTTGCTCAAGACCAGACTTATCCATACTGCAAAGAATCCGCTCCCGTGAACTCTGCGAAGAACTCAAAAACCATCTAGACAATGGAGAAAAGGACCTATACATTGACTACCGAGCTGATTGCATCAAAAGAAAGTCACACAACCCACAACTCCGCATCCAACCCCACCCCATCCAATCCAACATCACTCAAAACTAGGCGCCCACACCCCTAACTACCTCTATTCCAACCACAACTGGCCTTAAATGCAAACTAATCAATGCAAGAAGCCTTGTAAATAAAATACCTGAATTTTTCCTCTTACTAAATATGGCTAAATTTGATATTATATTTGTCTGTGAAACATGGCTTAATGCATCTCTCCCTGACTCCATTACCACAGTAATAGATTATCATGTTTACCGATCAGATCATGAAATCCGTAGAAGAGGTGGTGTTGCTATCTTCTATAAAAAGCCCCTACATCTAAAAAAACATCCAAGTTACCCAGGAGCTTGCTATTTCTGAGACCATCGTCTGTGAACTGTCCTTAAATATCACATTTCGGTTCTTACTATGTTACAGAGCGCCTGATTATAACATCGAACATGCAAACAAGCTAAATACACTACTAACTTTGGCAGCATCCTGCCCACATGCTTTTATCTTTCTTGGTGACTTCAATTTACCTCATATTAACTGGACCTTTAGCGAATGTACAACTGAACCCACACATGCAACCTTATACAATGCAGTAACAAATCTGGGACTAGAACAACTAGTAACCAACAACACTAGACTTAACAACTGCCTCGATCTCATCTTCTGCAATAGTTTGAATTCAATTTATGGAATACAAATTAAAGAACCCTTTTCCAACAGTGACCACTGTATGATTGACTTTTGTCTCAACATACATCCACACAAAAATCATTACAATGATGGAATCCCCAATTATAACTTCAAAAAAGGCAACTATGATCTTTAAACAATGATCTCTCATCCCTTGATTGGCAATTTCTATTCACTGGATGCAATACTGTAGAAGACCATTACAACATATTTTTACTTGA